GCATCTGCAATGGATGGTCGTGCGGAACTGCTCCAGTTTCCTGATCAAGAGGAACAAGCAGAAGTACAGCACCGAGCCCAATAACCTAAAAGCCCGCAACTCCTTCCGCTACAACGGGCTGATACACCGCAAGACGGTCGAGCCCGCTGCCGACGGCAAGGGGGTTGTGGTGGTCCTGAAGCGGAGGTCAGGCCAGCGGAAGCCTACCACCTCCTATGTCCGAACCACCATTAACAAGAATGCCCGGGCCACACTCAGCAGCATCCAGCACATGATCCGCAAGAACAAGTACCGCCCTGACCTTCGCATGGCTGCTATCCGCAGAGCCAGGGACATCCTACGAAGCCAGAAGCCTGTGATGGTGAAGAGGAAGCGGACTCGCCCCCCCCAAGAGCTCCTGAGCACCCCTCGCCCAGAGCAATAAAGAGAACTGCCCTCCCAAAAAAAAAAAAAAGAGTTGTATGAGCCTCCAATAAAATGATTAAGAAAAGAGGAGCCAATAACAAATAGAAAGATAGTGTTATGAAATGATAATGGAAACATATGCACAAGTATGCTTGATACAATTGATGTATAGATTGTTATAAAAGCTGTAAGAGACCCCAATAAAATGATTCATTTTTTTAAAAAAAAAGGAAAGAAAATTGGCCTATATGAGTGTGTTTCCTTTTTTAATAGTGTTTTAAATTATATAACATTGGCTAAATTACTGATACTACGAATAGAATTATCTTATGCCTCTAGGAGATCATTTATATTCTTTTCCAATAAAATTTAATGCTCCTCTAAAATGAACCAGGAACACATATAAACCATAGATAAATGAATGACCTTTGGGCTCACCCTTAATCCTAGCCCTAATATAAAAACAATTACTTCTTATGACTTGATCCTATTTGATACTGGCCCTCATGGGGAGATCTCTGAAGATTTGAGTGCATAGCAAAGTCTGGTAAAGAAATCAGATGGTGCTCAGCTATCAAAAAGAACATTGCCTGGCATTCAAAGACTTTTTTCACAAACAAGCAGCCATCTAAGTGACGTATCAACTAAATTTACTCAGAAGAAGCACATCAGCATGTGTGATCCGATAACTATAAATAGTGAACTCCAACTCTGGAAGAGAGAATGGTATCAGAGATTAAATTCTGAATACCCACTTCCCGAAGGCTACGGATGACAGTGGCATCCCAGCCCAGTCTAACTCAAGTCCATAAGTCCAATACTAGTCCATGAGTCCCTATCCAGACTCATGGAGCCACATTCAGTGACATAGAATGTAGGAAGATCACAGGATGGAAGGGTAGAGCCATGTGGAACTAAAGTACTGTGTATACTCGTGTACTAGCCGAGTTTTCTCAGCACATTTTCAATGCAGTTTTCGTGGTAAAATTAGGCGCCTCAGCTGATATTCGGGTCAGCTTATACTCGAGTATATATGGTAAGTGGAAACCTGACAGGGCACTGACAGCTCTCAGGGTCAGCGGAAGAGTCTCAGCAAGCAGGAAAGCAAAGTTGCAGAGAGAGTGGGAGTGTCCCCATTTTTCCTGGTTATAAGAAGGCCACACCCCCAGGCTGTAGCCTGATTGACAGGTTAGATTCCACCATACACCTTTTTTTTAAATCATTTTATTGGGGGTTCTTACATCTTTTATCACAATCCATACATCCATCCATTGTGTCAAGCACATTCGTACATTTGTTGCCATCATCATTCTCAAAGCATTTTCTTTCTACTTGAGCCCTTGGTATCAGCTTCTCATTTTCCCCCTCTCTCCTCCACCCTCCCTCCCTCACAAACCCTTGATAATTTATAAATTATTATTATTATTTCATGTCTTACACTGACCAATGTCTCCCTTCACCAATTTTTCTGTTGTACATGCCCCTGGGAGGGGGTTATATGTAGATCATTGTGATCGGGTCCCCCTATCTCCTCCCACCTTACCCTTACCCTCCTGGTATGGCTAATCTCAGTATTGGTCCTGAGGGATTTATCTGTCCTGGATTCCCTGTGTTTCCAGCTCTTATCTGTACCCATGTGCATGCTCTGGTCTAGCCAGATTTATAAGGTAGAATTGGGGTCATGATAGTGGGTATGGGGAGGAAGCATTAAAGAAAGTTGTATGTTTCATTGGTGCTATACTGCA